ATTGACATCCCACCAGTGGACATCTATACTATTTAAGGTGGAGCAAAACTACTAATTCAGAGTGAATTTCAGACAATATTATTCTCGCTCGCTTCGTAAAACTAGTGTGTCAATTTAACTGGATTTTTCATATAATGTGCTTTGATTATCCAAGATCATTGCGCATAGTGCATAGTGTATTTCATTTTAAGATTTTTAAAGTGTTTAGGCTATCACGGCCAAAAATCAGTGCTAAGCGAGCGAGAATAAAATTGTCCAAAATTCGCTCTGAAGCAGTTTGTCTCCACCTTAAAAGGAATCAAGTGGGTAGTAGTCAATCTATTGGGTTCTGTTTCTGGACCCTGCATCACATGTGAGTAGATTAGGTCTCTCCCTTTAAGGGTTTTTCTCCGAGTTCTTCGCGGCCTTAATTTAAAAGCAAAGCCAAACACACTAATTTCGATCTGTTAGTTAACCACGGCCTGACTTGCATCTTCTCAAAGATTGTTTCAGAGTTCGCTTAAATTGATATTTGTTTATTTCTACTTACCTATAGACATTAAAGTACATTAAGAACCTGTACAAAAAGGAAAAAAAGCGATTAAATAAATATGAATATAAAAAATATACTCATATATAAAAAGCAATTTTAAAATATAAATATCCTAGTAATTTAAATAGTCTCTTTTATAGTTTTTATCTTACTGTAGAGGGCCACAAGTTTATTAGCATAGTTTTTGCTATTTAGTGCCACCCTAGTTAAATAATGGATTTATTATTATGATTATGATTATTATCATTAACATTATCATTATCATTATTAATAATAATGTGAGGAAACGCAAGTATGCTAGCAGAGTCTTGGAAGTTGAACAAGCGACTTTTACGCCATTAGTATTCACTACAACTGGAGGTATGGCAGATGAGTGTAGAAGATACCACAGCAGGCTCGCCGAACTAATTGCCAACAAGAAATCAGAACATTATGCTACCACTGTATCCTGAATACGAGCAAAGGTTTCTTTCTCCCTTTTGAGATCAGCTCTCCTATGCCTGAGGGGCTCAAGAACTACAAGAAGAGTACTTAGGAACATAAAGGACATAGACTTGGATGTTGAGACTGCAAATGCAGCAATTAGCTAAATATTCAAATCCCCCATATATATGAATGTTTGCCATTATTATTATTTTTAAACATGTATTATTAGGATTAGTTTTTACTAAATAGATTTTATGGTTATA